TGTTCCTTGGGAGAAGAGACCGACCCCACCTCGCTACAACCTCCTTGCAGGGAGTTGTAGAGAGCGATGAGGTCTCCCCTGAGCCTCCTCTTCTCCAGGCTGAACAACCCCAGTTCCCTCAGCCGCTCCTCATCAGACTTGTTCTCCAGACCCCTCACCAGCCTCGTTGCCCTTCTCTGGACACGCTCCAGCACCTCGACATCCTTCTTGTAGTGAGGGGCCCAAAACTGAACGCAGTCTTCGAGGTGCGGCCTCACCAGGGCCGAGTACAGGGGCACAATCACTTCCCTAACAGGGAGAAAAATGGGAGAGGTTTCTTAGAAGGGTTTGTTCTTTTTCTGAGACCCACACTTCTCACCCTACCTCTGCAAAATAATTACGTGTCAAAATTGTTTTTCAGAATTTTTTTATTCTGTAGCTGAAGTGAACTCCTAATGTAGGGGCTAGTAACGGAAAGTAAAACTGTAATTGATCTGTGCAAGTCAGAGGCAATTTCAGCCCCTCAGAGAGATGTTATATAAGCGCTACCCAATGAGCTGACTTGTCCGGCTCATTTCAACGTGAGAGAGGGCTTGCTGGGTCCCTTACGTGATGCCAGAGATAGAGAGCTTGGAAAATGGCACTAGATTGCCTCTGCACCTTTCTTCTCCTTCATGGCTGTTACCCTCCAGAGAGAAGCTAGCCATCTTCAAATACCCAAAAAGTTATTTCATCTGCTCATTGCCCTCGAGATTTCATCACACAAAACTGCTCTTTCCTAATACTGTCAAGTCTGAGAAATCATATAGCCTACATGTTAGGAATTTTTGTTGTTGCACATCAGGTATTGCTAGAAGAATAATTGCTGAATGGTGCGTAGTGGAGCAGGGTGCAAATCTGTTACAATGCATGGGAAGTAAGACAAGAAGTGTATTTCTCCCCCCTTGAGCAAAGCCCTTAAGCAGCTCTGTACTCTCTTGACTTCATAGACTATTTCTGTGTTTGAAATTGGCAAATATGCTTAAGTAGCTTGTTGAATCGATGCTTCAAACAGTGCCAGTGTGAGCAGTAGCAAAAGAACTTCCCTGACTTCTGTTGAATAGGAGAAACATCCTCCTGTGTTTTTTAATAAGCTGAGCAGATCTGGAGGAAGATATCCTCCAGAGCTGAATGCACCTTGCATTTGATATATAAAAGGTGGGGACCCATATTTTCAAGTTATGTAGCATGGCCATCAGTTACGTGGGTTTTGGTAATGCAATCAAGTTGTACCCTCTCCAAAGCATTTCAGACAGGCCCCAGGACTGTCCTGTGTTCTCCTTTTCCTGAAATGTATCCCAAAGAGAGATTTAATTTAGTGAGCGTATTGAACTTTTCTGAAAGTAAGAGAGAGAACCTCTTCCAGAATTGTCGTCTCTGAAAATTATACCAGTTTCCCTGCTGTTCCGCAAGCGTGTGCAGGACAATAAACCATAGGAATAAAAGACTCACTCTTTGCTGTAATGAACATTTAAATGCAAGTCTGCATCTCTTATGCGAGTTGAAATAGCTCACATAGATAGTTCCAAACACATAAATATCCAATATAGACTATACGCTCATCAGCCTCCGTACTTACAAAAATATTAACTAATACTCCACAAGAAATGTTTATAACCTGTAAACACACTATTCATGCACAAATAACCATTCACATTTATATAATGGACCCAATAAACAAGCTAAAAATACATATTCAAAACATTGAATAATTACATCTGCCTTCTAAATGTATCACTGATGAGCAAAATTCACAACAGTATCCATCCACAAGAGCATACACCGGTCTAAGTGTATGTGTACATAAAATAGCTAGCTCTCCTGCCACACACACGACAGTAGCTCTCAGAAGCTACCCCTATTGTGCGTGTACACGAAGTGTACTCAGTTATTCACAAACGCACCCTCACACAAACTTGCATACCTGAATCCTGCATTTTAAAACACCACCTGAGGACTGTATTATTCCTCATGAGCCCAGGTGCCTTCATACAGATGTAAACGTACACATTGTCTTTCCGGCAGGCAAACCCACATGTTCAAACGATTTCCCACCACCATACAGCTAAACCCTGCATTGCACAACACAAACACATCCTGTAACCCTCAGCAGTGCAGAGTCATGAAAGTAATTTAATTTCGGGTGTGTGTTTCTGTCCTGCAATCATTAATGCGAGCTTTTGAGCAAACAAAACCTACGTTTCTTGTTCTTTATTTTTCTCCTTGTGACAAGATAGTTGGGAAACACCTTTCTCATGCAGGTGAGTTAATGAGCTGTGAATAAAGGCAGGAAGGGAGAATTGCTTACACTAAAGGCTTTGTCATTCTGCTTGATTTTATTTGAGGGTTTGGGGGTTGGAGTGGGAGGGAACCCTGCA